TATATTATTAAAAAATATAGATAAAAAACCAATTTAAATCTTATTACAAAGACGCATTTTTCTGTTTCAGTGCAATTCATACATACATGAATATATATATATATATATATATATATATATATATATATATATTATGAAATGGACAGTCCGACAATTATTTTAAGACATTTGTATCTATAAAAGAATATATAAACAAATAAAATGTTATATATATATATATATATATATATATATAAATTAATGTGTGTGTGTGCATATGATTTGTTTGTAAGTTTGAAGACTGAGATAGATTTTGTTTAAGCTCTCATGAAATAAAAATTATTACCTATGGAAGTTGTATATATTGTTAGGGCCAATAAATAAAGATACAAATAGAGGAAATTGATTTAAACAAATATATTAACAGGAACAGTAATACAGACATATATACAAACGAGATTGTTACAGCAAGAATATTCGACGCAAAATCTTTCAAATGTCAGAGCTGACTGCTGGAAACTTCCCTCTCCAAAAGGCAATACCTGCTCCTATTTATAGCTGGGAGAAAACCATTTATTATTTCGGTAAAAACAATAACAGAATTTTAAGTGTTTGATATTCTTTAATAAATAATAATTTTGCTCTGTCTTTTTAACGTAGATTTTTTAAAGTTGGATCTATATCCTCATGGACATTATATATATATATATATATATATATATATATATATATATATATATATATATATATATATTATATTACGATGACATCACAAAGACGATTCCCCCAATCCCATAATATTTAATTACATGCAATCTACATAAACCCAAAATTTAAAAAAAATTAATCAGTTTGTCTGACGATCACAAAAGCGTGAAACCCAGGGTCACAAACTCACATCAATCCAAAAAATATCTATATATATATCTATATCTCTATCTCTGATATTGAGCGATTTTTAATAAGTATTTTGCATATAATATATAAATCATAATATATATATTTATATATTGATATTTATATTTATATACACACTTTTTCATTAACACACACACACACACACACACACACACACACAAATATAATATATATATATATATATATATATATATATATATATATATATATTTTATTTGGTTTGTAGATTTAGTTGCCACTGCTTCATTATATTGATACAATTCGTTGACAAGTCTATTGAGTTAAACCAAAGAATGATTTAAATTTGACACTTTGTTAACATCTAAGTTTAAATGTAAATAACTTGTACAGTCAACAGGAATTCAATACGGAAGTGTAATTCGGACTTATCATAATTTCGTCATTTGATTGGTTAATCTAAGACGCATATTTAAAATTTTTTTTTTTTTAATTTTTTCCCGTGTGTAAATCTTTTTAAAAAACCATAAAATGATCGCTTATTAGCCAGTTAGCCACCGCTGCCTGAAGAAATAATTCAATAATGTTGAAACATTTTTGAATTTATTATAGCAGTTTCTGCTAACATAATATAATATAATATGTTTCTGTTATAATTTTTATAATATATATATATATATATATATATATATATATATATATAATATTATATATTATTATTATTATTTTGAAAATTATAACATAAATATTTATAAAATCAGAACATAAATAAAAATATTTTTTTTGAGTTCTACTTATGGCGTCTTATCAAGTGATGATGTTGAATGTCAACATTCAACACCATCACAGAATTGTTGAAACAAAATGGCCATTATATTATGATAATATAACATATTTATGTCATAATTTTCGAGTAAATGATCATATTTGCTCTACTCTGTATTGAGCACTCTTTTAAGAATGGTATTTGTTGGTTTATTGTTAATAAAACTGTTTTTACAAACAAGAAAGTATATCCTGTCTGGGAAACGTTTATATTAAAAAAAGTGCTCAATGCAGAGTTCAAAAATGTAAAGTGAAAAGATATTTAATTTTAAAAATAATATATAGGCACCAACCCTTTCTGTTATATACGGTTAATACTAATAAATGATTTCTACAGGCATCATTAGAAAACCATTTATTAGTTTCATTAATATATATATATATATATATATATATATATATATATATATATATATATATATATATATACTAATTTGTAATAGATTTTAATAATTATCACAAGGCTTTTTAATTAATTCAATGAGAGCTAATGTAAGTAATAGATCAATTATAATTCAAAAAAATTCGTTTCCGAAGAGATGAATATTTAAATATAGTCTTGGAGTAAATAAACAGAATTGATTTTAAGATTGTATTTAGTCGAAGTCACTGGCGTGTTTACAAAAAAATAAATACGCAAAAACTAAAATTTCTCTCTCTGCAATAGATTTTAGATTTGAATCTCCACCACATGCCAAATCAGTACGGTTTCGGTTCCAGCTTGAAGCGATTGGATATCTAGTAACACTGATGAGCTGTGATACAGCGAAACAGTCTGTTTGTGGAAGACTATATATATATATATTAAGATGTATATCGTAATAATATGTATATATATATCATCCATCACACACACACACACACATATATATATATATATATATATATATATATATATATATATATATATATATATTACTGTTACATTTTTTTTATATATGCCTGAATTTTGACGGACAAGCAAGTGTTTGTGTGTGTCTGCTGTACCCCACCGGGTGTACGGACATGCATCTAAGTTTACGTTAGCAGGATGACATACGACGACGAATTGAATAATTCTATCCATAATAAATAAATACAAAATCTACATAAACCGAAAATTTTTAAAAAAATAATCAGTTTGTCTGACGATCTTTAAAAAGAATATTGATTAAGAAAATAGAAAACAAACTCACATCAATCCAACCAAATATCTTAGCTCAATCTCTGATATTGGGCACTTAATAATATATATATATATATATATATATATATATATATATATATATATATATATATATATTTATTTATTCATATTTTATATACACATTTTTCACACACACACACACACACACACACACACACACACACACATTTATATATATATATATATATATATTAATCAATGGAGAATGCTCTGTTTTATAAAAACAGTATTAAATAACATTTACCGGCCTGTTTATTATAAACAGAGCATTTATTTAAATACTTGTATCTATAAAAAGAACGTTAAACATAAAAATGTCTTTAATATATATATATATATATATATATATATATGAGTGTTTATGTGTTCTTGTTTAGCGACATATCAACTCCCTATGGGTCATTTAATATCGAAATTTAATTTTCTTGGGAGCAATAGTAATTTTTTTTTTTACAAAAATGTATATCTGGTTATACTTTTTGTTTACAGTAATGTATTGCTAATATTTCTGTTTTTTTTTTTTTTTTTTTTTACACCGAAAATGTATTGTTGGTATTTTTACTATAATTTATTTTATACTTTCATCATGTTTTGAACAGAGTCTGGAAGTTAAATATTTAAATATAATGGGACCCTAACAGGTGCTACCATGTTGGGTCAGAGTGGAGCTGGGAACAACAACAGTTAAGAGGTGGATCCTCTATCTAAATATTTGATATATATATGTGTATGTGTGTGTGTGTGTTTGTGTGTGTGTGTGTGAGAGAGAGAGAGATTGTTTGTGTATGTGATGGGGATCTTTTTATACAAGTGTCAGTCGTTTGTTTACAATTGCACAGGAAAAATGGTCTCTGATCTTAACATTCAAAAAGTCGTCTATGTATCCACAAAGCATTAAATCGATAATAATAATAATAATAATAATATATAATATAATAACAATATATAATAATAATAATATATAAAATAATAGTAATATATAATATAATAATTATATATAATGTAATATAATACCATATAAAATAATATAATCAAATAATAATATATAATATAATATAATAATAATATAATCATATATAATATAATATACTACTACTAATAAAATATTAATTTATAATATAATAATATATAATAATACATAATCTAATAATAATAATATATGATATAATAATAATATATAATATATTATAATAATAATGTATAATATAATATAATAATAATGTCATATAATATAATATATAATATAATAATAATATATAATACAATAATATATAATATAATAATAATGTATAATATAATAATACCATATATGACATAATAATAACATATAATATAATATAATAATAATACTACATAATGTAATAGTAATATATAATATAATAATATATAATATAATATCATAATAACATATAATATAATATAATAATATATAATATAATAATAATATATAATATAATATAATAATATATAATAATAATAATAATAATTATATATAATAATAATAATAATAATAATAATAATAATAATAATAATAATAATATGAACCACAGTGTAGACAGAAATAGACTGAACTGATCAAATTACCTTAACTTTTGTATTGCATCTCATATATCGCTGACAATCTCTTCATCTATTTCATATATGTTCATGTATCTCTTCGTACCTGTTTTGCTAGCGAGGTACGTTAGTCTGTTCCGGTCTATTTCAGTCGAAACTCGAGTCATGTTCTTAAATAAGAAGATCGTGACTTTCAAATGGACGTCCTGCTTGGCACCAAAAACCCTTTCAGAAAAAAAAACATATCTAAACTGTCAGCTCTATAGAACTGCTTTTTTTCTTTCTTTTTTTTTTTTAAAAAAAAAAGGATCAATGCTTAAAAATGACTTAGAGTGGGTGAAACAAAGACGACACTTGTTTGAAACTTGTGGACTGGCGCGACAGAATCGCAAACAAAGAACAATACCACGTAACAGAAACCACATCGCAACGAAAAATAATGACATCGTCAAAATGTCGAAAGTCCAGACTACTTCAAATAAAAGGTTAGCGAGGAAACCGACGCTAATAGTGGAAAGAGATATAACAGCTACTAGACACGAGAAAACTATTACCCCTAACACTATTAACATGACCT